AATTCATTTCAAAACGATGTATTAACGTATATTAAATGTATATAAAACTTGCTAAGGTAAATAATCGATTCACGGATAACCAGTGATTAATATTGCATTCGTTATGCAATTATTGCATATTGCGTTCCGAAAACCATATTTTTATATATTTTACTTTGCGAAATTTTCTTCTCTTATTTCATAAACAAAATCGATAGTATTTAGTAGCAATATATAGCAAAATTGATCGAGATTCTGATTATGTAACACTGACCTCGAAATTTCTCATTTTTCATTTTTCGACTTTTCGTCGCGTTTTGGGGTTTTGACCCGACCGTGTGACGCTTTGACTCTGCGCCAGTGTGAGTTGAGCTCAAATGCCGGCAATGTCCATTTTGTAAACATGTCTGTAAACTATAAAAAAAAAAAAGATTTTTTCTTTATAATACCAAATGACGGGACGAACAAGTCATTTGCCTGGTGGTAATCGACACGCCTGTCCATGACAGTTGCAGTGCCACTCAGAGCTTTAAATCACAAAGATCTGAGTGAGAGGCAGTGCCTCTGCGTTCTTCACCGTGACTCATACGTTGACAAGTCTCATGTGCCTGTAATTTCACCAGTACTCTTACCTTTCAAAACTGGAACGCAATAATGCTCACATTACTGCTTGGTGGCAGAAATACATAAGGTAGGTGGCAATAATTCCCCGGACGAACTCTTTCACAAGGAGTACAGCTGCTATAGCAGATCAATATAAATGACAAATGAGACGAACAATAACACAGACGTTCGCATTATTATTAAAATGTTATCTACGTCTCCACAGCCTGTCAATATTTCCTACATTCGCGACCAGCCCAACAAAGGATAAACGTATCCCGGCACGGGCCATGTGCCAGTTATACGTGTGTACATAGGATATACATATAAATTTATACTAACTCCTAACCGCTTTGTTTCTCTGCTTTACAATGTGCTTGTGCTTGTTTTACGGCCATTGTTGCCTCCATAGTAATTGTGATATCGGACAATACTTTTACAGGATATATTCGAATTTAATTTTTTTACTTATTTTGTTTGTTTTCCTAATCTTTTTGTGTTATGTAAGAGCACCTTGAAATTAAACGACATGGCGCTACAGCTGCGCTTCTAAATACTCGATATTGAGCAACTTGACATCAATTTGGTTAAATTACTGGCACATGGGCCTTGTCAACTTGTGTCCAGGGTGACGAGCACAGTGCCAGTGCCCCTCAGAGATTTGTGATTTAAAGCTGCAACTGTGGACAGGCGTGTCGCTTACCACCAGCCGCGCGACTTGTTCGTACCGTCATCGTCGGCACCATAAAAAAATGTTATTTGATTTTACCCTCGACGACGCAAAAAAGAAAGTGTGTGAAATGTGTGTCTGCCTGTGGCATCGTAGCTCCCAAACGCATGATCTGATCTAAAGCGATATTTTTTTGAAAGCTATTAATCGGGATGGTTCTTTGCTACGCTTTATGAACATCTGTTCAGCTGTTTAAAGATCATCAGCTCTTTTTCCAGTTAGCGTAGAGATCACAGTCGTAAAATGAATATTTATTTTACTTCCACTTGTCCGGCCGACTTGAAACTTATACATTGGAAATCCGATGGCATCACAATAATATGGTAACCTTGATCTGATGCTGCAACCAGGACAGTCTTGCAGTACAGATATATCTGAATAGTCGCCGCAAGTGTACCTACTTCGCGTACCCAAAAAAATAAGTTATAAACACTTAGTTGCCGCTGTTACGCTTCAGAACGCGTCCGGCCGCTATCGTAGTTAATCATTTGTCGAAAACGCGAAAAATGCTTAATTGTGCCATTAGACACTGAGATAACACCACAGCTGTGAGAAGATAAATGAACAGGGACGTTTCCTTACACAGTTATGTAATTTTGTAATCGGAATATGCATAATTTATTTTAAAGTCAATTATTTTCATTTTGAATGAATTTCGAGAAACAAATATGCAAAGAGTGTATACTGCTTGGTTTTCATACAGTGCGCGGTACTTGCGGTATCTATTTAAATATATGTCTGTGATTTGCAGTCTACCCAATACCTCAACTAAGTATAGTAAAACTATCGTGTATGGGCTTGTCAAATTGTTCTCGATAAGTTTTTAGCTTACGGATGGTGACTGATTTTTTGAAGTGTATTGTTTTGTGTCTAGGATTTTTAATTTTAATTTAAGTGACATAGTTACTTTCTGTCCGTTAGACAATGTCAAACTCAAATCTTATTACAAGTCATAGTTTGTTTGTTGCAATTAAAAGATCCGCCAGGTTAACGTTGCGTTACATTCAAAATGAACGTGTGCGCGCTGACAATTTTACAAAATGAAATCGTTTTAACTAAACACTAAAAGCCGTTTCAGGAGATTACTCCTCGAATAAATTCACTCTTTACTACCTAAGTTCAGAATTGGAATAGTTTGTCATTAAATGAGATCGTACTGATACTAACACATTTACTGAACTGTTATATTTCATAATGTAAATGTCTTTCAAGTAGATTAATAGCAAACAGAGAACGTAACTTGTTTAACTTCGTGGTGGTACGCTAATGTTGTTTAAAGTTGTGATGTATTTGTACGAGTACTTTATATATAGTGCAACATTGGTGTTGAATACATCTCGTACTACCCGACTATGGTGTCAATAGTGCCAATCACACTCCTGAAGTATATCCGGCTTACGTCAATACAGTGATAGGTACTCTTTGTGTGTATTTATTTGAGTCTTGTGAATGTGTTTATACCAGCTTTTGATGTCAGTCATATAATGTAGGTATATGATTAAGTGATCAAAGGTCCGATCTATAATTTAGAACTTCATCGTGTAGATGTGGTACGTGTCGAGACACAGTATCGAAACAAAAATATCGATACTGTACTTATGAGTAGTAACAGTATCGTACTCATAAAAGTATCGAAACAAAAGTATCGATAACTCAAGGTATTGATACTCGAGAAACATTTACGAAACGAGAACGGAAAATGTCAATTGAAATGTTGCTAATTATTTTTCTTCTTTCTCATTCTTATAAAGGTGCAAAGGGTAGCATACTCTAGGTATATAGCCATGTCATTTGTAATGAAGGTTTGCCATTAAAAAAAGTCGCTAGGTGGCTTGCGCTATTATGATATGATATATTATGATATGAGGTGTCCTAAGTAGGAGTTATTCGAAAGGATACGACACGATACTTGTCAAAAAGTACTAATACCAGAAAAGTATCGAATGAAAAATATCGAGTACAAAAGTATCGGTATGAAAAGGAAAAGTACTCGATATCAAAAAGTATCGATACTTTTTCCGTGTCCCTAGGTACGTGGTACGTAAACCGGTGAAACACAGTTACAACGATCGCGTGAATAGATTTGATAGCTCATACTGGAAGGTGACAGCTAGAAGATAGCTTTACTCAACTCTTGTCGATATTGTAAAAATTTTTCAGAATTTTTAGTAGCTGTTCAAGTTCTCAAGTTTTTTTGTGAAAGACTTCGTCCGGGGAAGTACTGTCATCTTACCGATTTCTGCTGTCATGCAGTTCTGTAAGCATTGTTGCGTGCCGGTTATGAAGGGTCCTGGAGAAATTACAGGTACATGGGACTTGTCAACTTATGTCTTAGTGTGACGGGCACAGTGGCAGTGCCCCTCAGATCTTTGCAATTTAGAGCTTTGAGTGGCACTGCAACTGTCGGATAGGCGTGTCGCTGACCACAAGTCACGACTTGTTCGCCCCGACGCTTGATATAAAAAGTAATTATAAAAAAAGTAATTTCAGCGTTACGTGTCTTGTTTACATTATGACCTGTATTTAAAGTTGAGAATTCTGAATTGTTGACTTCAATTCCATGGTTTAGTTACATTTCACGTCTAACTTTAGAGTCCGGAATTCCCTGAAGCTTCTCGCAATTATTCTACAAGTGATATAATGTCTAAAACATTATACGGTTAATTAAACAATACATAAGTATGTAAACTATGTACATTTGCATCTGTCTATAAATATCAAATTTGGTGAAACCAATTTCACTTTAAAGAGAATTTCAAATGTGCTTTCAAGGTAAAGAGCTTTTTTATTAAAGAAAAGTTCAATTTAGCAGATCTCATGAAAAGAATTCTCTTTTCAACTGTCTTTTTATATCGATTTAGTGTTGCTTGATTTAATCCAAATTGCACTGACGTATTTCGAATTTGCGACTGAATGTGTTTTGTATGAAAAACTTCGCCATTTACTACTACCGTACATAGCAAAGTCTTAAGATGAATTTTAAATGGACATACTATCGTTTATATCTTTTCTATCTATTGCATATGTCATTGTTAATTAAACAGAGTTTTAACTACCTTTGTGGCAGAACGGTTACCACGCTGGACTGATACGCAGAGAATCCGGGTTCGATTCCCGGGCCGGGAGAAATATTTGCATGGCCTACATTTATTTCTCTCGTGAGTTTGGGTGCAATTTGTGGTTGTCTGTGTGTGTGTTCAGGGCACCCGCGATACAGGGTTTCCCTATTGTGGAGCTATGAGTGTGTGCGCGTTAGTATTAATATTAGTAGAGTAGAAGGTAATCATGTATTTTAATTATGCTACTACTTATCGATTATGTACGTATGTACTCGTATAAGTAAAAATATTATGCGATACGATTAGGTATACTTATCTGAGGTGCAAACATTATAGTTGGTTAGTTTTATTATACATTAATCTTAGTCTTTTCCTTTTAAAGTAGGTATAAAGTAACGTACGTGAATTTTTCAGTCAGCTCCTTTAACTATTTATTTTCCGCACTTTGTGAAAATTCATAATGCGAGAATCTTGAACCATTGTCCGCGGCAGACGTTCATTCTTTGAGCAGAGTGCGCCGATATCGAATTCGATTTCACTAGTAATTTCCGCAATCCGCACACGTCGCACGCCACCACCCGTCGTCGCCCACATACGAACTCGCCTTAAAGAATTCCCGCTTCAGCCCAATGGAGGAAATGAAAATCGTTCCCGTTGTAAATCGTGTGCATGTGAATTATCGGCCTTTGTGATTTAAAATTCCGCGCAAAATATGTCCATTATATTTCAGTTTCAGATGAATTTGAAATTTCATGCAGGCTTTTCTTTGCAGAGGCCGTGTAACTGTCAGCGGGCGCGAAAACGCTGCCATTGTTTTCGGCCACACAGCAACGAAATATGGCTCTTTTCGAGATACTCTACCGGCTGGAAGTGAGTACCCTTTTGTTCATCTCACATATTTTAAAATCCCACATGTGAATCGAAAATTCATAACCGTCGAAGAATATATCCCTAAATATTGTCTATTCATGAGTTTTTTGCTGATACCATAATGTTTGTTTAACTATATTTGTTAGTCGACAAGCAGAGTAATCTGTAACACGTGTCTCATTATACTCCTTACATTAGCATCCTGCAGGCGACAAGGAGTTTAATAGCTGCCATATTGTAATAAATTCATGTCGTGGGGACAATTGGAAGGTTAAAATTTGAATTTGAAATATTATTGTGCGGATAGTCGATTACATCAGCGACGGCGGCACGGTTGCTAGTCCTTGAACGTTAGGCGCCGCTGCCGGGGCGGTGGGCGTCGTCGGCTAGCTAACGCCTGATTTGGACATGCAAATGTGCCGAATGTGCGTACTTGGCCCATGCAAATCACCTCTCCTGACCATTGTCCGCCGCCCTTGGGATTATTTGGCTGGCTGCGCAGACGTGGCCAGCATTGTGGATTGAAAACGAATTTCGATTGATTGTTCAACGGGCCAGTGGTCGCAAACAGTGTATGCAAATGAGCTCTAATATAATTTCGGCAAGTTACGCTCATATTGACTGTTTTATTGTTCGTTGTTGATTGAAATATTTAACAATAATAATGGAATGGAAATACGAGTGTGGATTGAAAAGCCTAGCCAAAATAAAATACGTAAAATTTTTTTTTTCAACGTAATTTCCATCTAGCTGTATGCATTTCTACCTCTCGCTTTCCAAAGCTACTACAACGGTTTAAAAAACAATTCTGACTTTGTATACATGTCTGTGGACTATTGTCTGAACTGCTCATGTAAATTTACATAATTTGTGAAATTAATAATTTTAGTCTATATTATATACTTGCATAAATAAAAAAACAGTGTAAACCACACTCACAAAGAACAATAGCGAAATTATTGTTGAAAAGAATTCAAATTCAAACGTCATAATTACAAGGTTGAGTAAAATAAATTCATTACATTTTTCAAATTTTACTAAAGGCCTGTTTAAGTCTGGACATAAAATAATGTTTAAATTAATTTAAACAAAGTAATTTAAAAAAAGTTTTTTTATTAAAATTACTAATTAGATTGTAACCGGATTGATATCTACAACTGTCAGTTGTAGATATTACAGTGAAGTCGTAATCAACTCCATGCAGCCAAGATCGACTGCATGCTAACTGCATGCATGAAGTAGGTTTTGACTTTTTTTTTAATAAGTGCGCATTTGATTGATTTCCATCTCACCTGATGGAAAGTGATGATTAGGTCGACGTTGTAGTATGCACACCTAAATAGTGGCTATTCACTCTCGCCTTGAAAAGATCCAAGTTATAGCGTTAATGCGTGAAGTCGTTCCCAGCCTAACCGTCAAAAAGAGATTTTCAATACCTACGTGTAGATTAGTCTACATTAAGTTAGTTCACGAAATATTAAATATACTGGTTCAAACGATTATAATAAGAGATAACTACGTTATTGCAAACAATTAAATAGAAAATCCTCGAAATACATCACGCGAGACAGAGGTAAAACTGACAAAAAGTTCCAATATCGCAAAATAGATCGCATGTTTCACAAATAAATAATTTGTGCCTGAGTTAGTAGGGCTTGGTACCTATATACTAACTTAGTTTTCTTTTGTTATGGCTTAACTTCGTGCCTATTGACCATACCTTATAAAAAATATTTTCCTCTGAATTTTTGTCATAAACCACGGCACCATTCAGCTTCTATTAACTCTGTTTAAGGCTTCTGTAACTTATTATAATGTAAATACACCAAATATATTTTATTCAATTATGTAAAATATAATATCCCAAACTTCAAATTGAAATATCTTTATTCCACACTTCACAGAACAGTAAACATAAAGTGTACAATAGTATGCTGAGCTTATTGTTTCGCTCTTAGCAAAGTATTCCATCGTGATTAGCATCCCAAAAAATAGGCACCAAGGCCTTGCCTTTATTTGAGGTCGGTTGGCATTTTTTCCGCTGTTTGGATTGTTGTTTTTTCTTAGTAAGGTGATGAATCTGTGTTTCATCCGTTAATCCAAATTCAGTTTAAAAAGCATCGCGGTCAGTCTTAAAACATCTCATAAACTATCACGAGAAATTGTGAGCCGAATTCGTTTTTAATCAACTAAAAAAATTTTGGGACTCACCTAGCCAATTTGTGTTCTTTCGTACGGGATGCCTATAGGTTTTGCAATCTCCCTGACAAGCAATCTGTAGTATTCCAATCTCCCTGACAGGCAATCTGTAGTATTCCAACATGAGATCACATACTTTTTGTCGATGTTTTCTTCTGTCGTAGACGTAGTGAGCCTGCCTGCGCGCGAGTCATCTTCGATGCTCTCTCGTCTACGTTTGTATTCTGCAACCTATTTATTCACAGCGGTATACGACGGAGCAGATTCCACTAACGTTGTTTTCATTTGATCGTGGATCTCTTTGGGTTTATTTATTTTTGAACTTGTACTTGATTGTACAAAATTGAACAATTTCAATTATCACCATTTTCAATTGCAATGTTTTCTGCACTTGGTCTCACTTAATTCCAACTAACTTAAAAAAAACGCAAATGCTACAACAATTTGCACTATGACAACCAAAGGGTATAAACGTAATGAGGAAAATACCTATAATATAAATATAATAAATAATTGAAGCCATGTATGTACTTCATTGAAAAACGAAGTTACAATATAGAAAAGTATTTATCACCAAAATTCATGCCGTAAACTCATAATAATGTAATAACACCATACAGTGTTTCATGTATTATGATCATAAAAAGGTAAGACTCTAGTACAAACTGGTTTTAAACGGTACCCTGTTAATGAAATTCGCTACAATTGTTGGCAAGAGTTTCACGCAGCTCTACTAGCTTCAATAAAACAATCGTTAAAAAGTATATATAAATCAAAGCTGTTATAGTACTGTAATAATGGTAGGGGTACTATTCGGTTATGAAAGATTGGTAAAAGTATACCATTTTGAAGTTTTTGTAGGGATAAACAGTAAACAAAAAAATATGTAGAGAAATTTCACAGAGGGGAAAAACTGACAAAAAATTAAATGATCCGATCCAGTTACAACCGTTTATTACAATTACTAGTTTTACAGTTACTTACACGATTTTGCCTGCAAAATAGCCAATGTTTCCATGTCGTCATGAAAGTGCAAGCCAACGAATCTGATGCTACTACCATAGTATGTATCATAAGACAAATATGGTAACCCCATTCATATGTAGTGCAGCTCACTTTGTAGTGCACACGTTATGTACACGCCCGTTGGACGCCGTGTACGAACACACATTCACAGAATAATGAAAGACGCGTGAGACGACCAGCGCTATGCAACGTGACTGCATCGCGAAATTATGCGAAAGTGTGCGTCCGTACACGGCATGAGGCGAACGTGCACTCATACAAACCGCGCTGCTACGTTTGTATAGATTTCATTATTGTGTTATTATTATACTTTGCTACTACAGTAAAGCCTTAGACCATAAGTTCGCAAACTTTTTGTCTCACCGCTCACTTAGGCAAGATCAAAAAATTTCAACGCCTACCACCACAAAAAATAATTGAAAACAAGTACTTTTATGTTAACACAAAAACTCACAAGGAAAAAGTGTAGTGTTTATGTAGATAATTCAAGTATTTTGTAATGCCGTAGCACCTTCTGGACTGCATCAACGCCCCCAATTACTTTTGAGGCCCTACCGCCCCCAGGACTCTTCAGCGCCCTATGGGGCGCGTTAGGGACCGACTTAGCTACCAGCTGCCGTGCCGATGCCGGCTACCGACCGTGCGCATCTCATTGCTATGCTCGACCCGTGCCTCGTAAATTAACTCCTCATAACGTCACCTAGCAGGTACTTATTGAATCGGCCGCGTGGTGGTCTACTCAGCACACCAAGCATGTTACAGAACAATAGACAGCTACTAGTTTTATTTTAATCAATTAGACGGTTTTTGAAAGAAACGCCAGTACTAGATAATCTTATTTATTTACACATCTCTTCGAAATTATACTTTATAATAAATGCTCTTTTTTCGAGTTTCGAGTGCGCTTTTAAAATGAAAAGGACATTTATTTGATTTAAGTTAGACGGTCGTGTTTACGTAATCCCTATACGCTTAAAGATCTAGCAGTAGAGCTCCTTGCGAAAGAGTTCATCCAGGAAAGTACCTTACCTATTTCTGCTGCCAAGCAGTAATGTGAGCATTACTGTGTCTAAGTTTTGAAGGGTAAGGGTGCTGCGTGTGAAATTACAATCACATGAGACTTGTCAAAATTATGTCTTAGGGTGGGTTAGCGGAGGTTACCGGGAAGTACGCGAAACCGGATTCACCCCCTAGTTTGCCACCCTTAGAGGTGGAACATTTTCTTCAAATTTAAATCTGAGGTACCCGCTTTCCAACAAAAAAAGTCGGTTAAAAAAGGTAGCAATGACATTTATTTGAAAATATATTAAAAAATATTAAAATAAATGTTTATTAAAATAAAGTTTACAATATTTATCATTGCTATATTTAATATCTTGTAAGATTAGGTATATGTATATTAACTTCTAAAAGGCTTCTTCATATACAGTATTCTGTTTTTAATAAGCTTATTTGTATCCAATTCTGCTCCGATAGTAACATATTCCGTCGTCTTGTTTACTACGTCCGTTGCTTAAGTGCCGGTGTTAGAAATACAAAGGGTCATTTTCAAAGTGTGAGCTTGAGAGGTCGTTGATGGTGCGGCGCGGTGGGAGACCTCGTAACGATCTATTGAATACTACGTAACTTCAAATATTTTGTTTATTGTTATTGTTATTATATTATTATTGCTTCCTGTCCTTCAATTGCAGAAGAAGACTAATGTTCACATTGTGACGAGAAATTATCCTATCCATAAAATAAATTTGTTCTTCGAATCGTCTGCTTAGGCATAA